CACCATATTGCACTCGTTAGCTTTGTGGGCTTCTTTCCCGATGGCATAGCACTTGAAACACATCCTCTTCCTGTGCTTCTCCTCTACACGTAGCAAACGCCATCCAACCTTCACACCCTCCTTGATGAGTGACACAGCCGACTCTTTCTTGACCCGAACGAAGGCATTCAATCCCTTCCTATGAGCTGTGAGACACGCTTCTCCAAAGGCTTCCTTCAGTGAGTCATCAGAGACGTTGCCCACATCCCTAGCGAAAAGTTACGGCTCGATAGGATTGAGGACCTTAGCCTCATATCCAAGTGATCTAGCCGCTTGCCTCACCACATCCTGATCGTCACGTGACACCCGAATGCCTAATCTGCCGTCCTTAGCAAAGAAATTATCACGGATTGTGGCCTTCGCCTTCTGTGCAATTCGATCGCTGACCGCGATGCGTTTCTCGGAGCTCTTGTCATCAGACCCGATGTCTCCACCAGTTACCCAAATCAAAGCACCTTCACGCCCCAGACGCTTATGTGGTTAGGCAGCAGCCGGCCATCCCCTAGGCTCACTGCCACGAGATCCTCCACGTATCCTCTCCTGAGCAAGTTCATCCTTAACCTTAGTGTGAGCCTCAAGCAGATCGATCAGCTTTTTCTGTCCACCCGTCAGATCCTCCTGAGCAGCCGTATAGATCCTATGTAGCTTGTCCAGCAGGGCCTTGACTTCTTTCCTTTTACCGGACGCCATGCTGGAATCCAGCAGCTGGATCCATCGCATACCTCCATGATGTCGTCCACCACCCCTAGGAAGCGAGGGACGCCTCCAGTATCTTCCTGTGGAGTATCTGAGCGAGTTGCAGTGATAGTCATTTTTCACGAGAAAAACTTGAGCCAGACGGCTACCGACGTCAAGAATCTTGACGTCGGTAGCCTGACTCAAGATGGACAATGGTGACATGATGTCACGGACATCAACATCTACGATTACCTAGACCGCATCGAATCTGCTGTTGCTATGTATGCGAGTGTTGGCCTCCATCTACAACCCAGGCAAGTCAACCTACACTACCGTGAAGGCCTCCATCCCACTCTGAGGAGGACTGCAGACGAGAACTACGCGGCCATCGATGATGTCTAACAGCTTACGTAAGCCCTACGTAGCCATATCCGCTGCAATCCTAAGCTCTACATCAACAATGCTAATTCGAGCAGGGCCCCTCCGGTATCAACTTTTATCCCCACTAAGGCTCCTAATCCCAAGCTGCCTAGGGTTGAAGACCCCGAGACTCTCAAACTCTGTCGAGAGCAAGGGATATGCTCGGCCTGGACAGCTCGCAGGCAGTGCCGCTATGCTGATAATTGCAAGTACAAGCATAGCGACGTGGCCCGTTCATTTTTTTTTACGGTCCTCAACTATTCAACCGAATGGAAAAGAGAGAAGAATATGGTATAGTTACATCCTTCTCGCCAGAGCAATGAACCGCGCGACATTACGTGTATTTTCACGAACGAAGTCGTCTCTATCCGCCACAACTGGAGAACAACCGAAACAGAGTATTCGAATGTCCTCGTATTTCTGGCAATTCAATAATCTATGGCCAGCACTATCAACTATATCATTATTATCACTGCTACACACTTTACATAAAGGGCTATCTACCACACCGATCTTGAACAGATAGTCATGACAAACCGACCAATATCCAGATACTATCTGGTTGAGAGCTGAGTGAATATATCGCATCGGAATTGCACAAGAAGACTCTATGTTGGATTCATATAATTGTATGAGATTCGTGCATTTTGCAGTTGCACGCATACACATACGTTTAGCTAAGTTTGAGCAAAAGGCTCTTGTGAGATCTAATTGGCCGTTAACTACAGAAGTTGAGTTGCCCAGTTACACATCCATAGTTGTCTTAACATCTACCTCAGCGACAATAATCTAACATAATGGTACCCGATGCAGGATATAAACTGGCGCAACTAAGGTTCGAGGACGCTGACATCGAGGGGATTGCTGAAGTTGACATATCTTCTGAGTTTCAACGACTTCATCTAGAGTGTGCTGACCATTCATCATTCAACAGATGTGTTTCGAGTGTACGTAATAAAGTCCAACGCTGGGCTGCTATGACTGATGGTGATGTCGTATTTGTTGCTACCAAAGCTCTATCTGTTATGAAGAAGGCTGCGGTTGCCGAGGGTCTCGAAGAAGATTGGGTAGCACCCTTGAGCCTGTATGTCGCAAAACAGGTTTCATCATTGAAACAGTTTGATACCCCCTGGCACAAGGACCGCAACATTGATCTCAAGAATGCTCTGCAACTCTTCCTCAAAAGTAAAGATGAAGAAGCAACCTCTGTGGGGGTGCGTGCTCAGCTGAATCCTCCCCCTGTCCAACTACCTTATACAGGGGGAAAAGACCCTTCATTCCACTTATGGTCCAAACTCCCTCTACCGTTCGGTGAAGAATGGAAGGCTCCTACGGTCAAGGTTCCGTATCTAGCGTTTAGAGCTCGCATGAAGAAATCTGCAGATGTGTATGGTCTGCCGCCTAGGTCAGCACAATACTTCTTGATCAGAAATCTAGGAGGAGCCCTACGTGAAGAGGTAGAAGAATTGGTAGTTCCTGGTGATTCAGCTGCTAGCTGCTTGGAGTCGATATGGAAGTACCTTGATAATAAGTATGCTGATACATTCTCAAATGAGTGAGTCTTTAGCTCGTTGG